AAAAGAAAACAATGCTGAGTTCTTGATTTACTCCTCTGGCCTTCAGAATTGTTTATCTTTCTTTGGCCTTTAAGGCTCTTACTTTAACCTTAGGACACTGAACCTCTCTAATTTTACTTAAGTTATGAGAATGCTGTATGTATAGCCTATAAATGGCCTCAAGCTGTCTAGCTAAAATTTTTGTTCACCAAACTAAAAAAATTCTGCACTTCTCATCAGAACTTTTAAAGTATTGTGTGAACTGGCCAGGCTTGAGTACAACAGTGAGAATATTATAGCCCAAGCACAGATGGAAAGAAGAATGGCTTAGATAGAGTTGTAGAAGGGAATGCAGATAAAAAATGCCAAAAAACTTGAGATAATTATGAAATGAAAGAAGCAGAATTTCCACTTATAAATTCCAAGAGTTGGTTGTTCTGCCAGTTCCTTCGCTCTACATGCAAAATCAGTGATTTTTTACCCTGGACATTTTCAATCTCTTCTCTGGAGCCACAAGCTCACTCCTACAGAAATATTGACTGCTAATTATAAAGCATCTATTAAATATCTAACAATGTCCTGTACTTATTTCTTCTATTTAAATATAAAATCAACTCCATAATTTATAAATCCTTCTGAGTGTTTACCTGAACAAAGTAGCCTGATAAAGTCAATAAATCAATTAGTTCGATAACCCAAAGTAAAAGAAACAGTAACCAGAATGTTCTTTCAATATCCTTCCCAAATTAGTATGAAAATATAGAATGTACTAAGTAAAATGTAATTACTACAATGTGGAATTACTCACACCTTTAGGTAATTTTATGAGCACCATGAAGTTTTATAACAATCCTTGTTGTAATTGCAGATCAGGTCACATAAATGGTATTTAATGAACTTTGAAATAATAAAATAACATAGGTGGCCTAGCATGAGTAATAAGCATGTAAGAACAGAGGATTGGCATGGGCAGGTTCCCATTCAGAAGCTTTAGGGTTTTAAACAATTAATTCAACATAAAGGGAACAAAATATTTCCTTTCAGAATCTTTGAAGTTTCTAGTTTGCTAGTAAATTCTCAACACTTTTGAAATTATCCATCTTTTCTAATATTTCTTTTTTTCTGTTGAAATAGGTATACATCCACATTCACACAAACATAATTACTTACTCTGTAAATATACTACAACTATAGTTCAACTTAACCATGATGTATTTGTATATTTGATTCAATATAAATAAAAATATGCTTATTTCTGTTTTATTGGCCAGGCAGGTTGCATGTTGAAGGAAAAATGTAGGATACAATGTAATAACTAGTCATGCTGTGTTAAGAAATGTATGGCTTTTCATTAAGTACAAAATCTTTATTATAAGCATTATAGTAACAATGTAATTATAAATATAATGAAAAAGAGCTTTGGGAACATTATTCTTCAAAGTAGAGAGACTGATAAAAAGGATCACAAGTGATGTCTTGTTACTGTGTAACCCCACAGTACATTTTTACAACCCATTACCTCCAACTTTGAGTAACATGGGATAGGTTAATTGTGGTGCAAAATAACACTTCATTCAATCTACAACATGTTTGACACATTAAAATTACTTTTAATTTAATGAAACAAATTAAGTTTACATGTAATCTAAAAATATTCCAAATTTCATTCGATTTTATTATCTATCATAATGTACAATATTAAAACAATTTCTAATATTCTAATTTTTTCATTTTGATTATGAGAAGAATATTAGTCTGTATACCTACATCATACATCACTTGAAATACTGTTTGTTATTAAAAATATCCATAGTACCTCTCCATTTCATAAATCTTACATTTCAGTGATTTTAATTTCCCATGGAAAAGTACATGAATAATGCCTACTGAATACACAAAGACTACTAATAAATGCGATGTAGCTATCATTAGCCACACACATTCACATACACGCTAAAAATGAAAACATAACATCTACTGTATTTAAAGTTGAATAACATTAGTATTTGCTTGTCAAAAAGGAAAAAAAATATATACCTTTTATATTTTTACCCTACCCTGACCAGAAAGTATATTTTACATGTAATTATAACTCTCACAAAATCTCTCTCTTTTTAAAGCTGACATACAAGTAAATCAACTAACTATTTTAACTGGGTGGTACTCTATAATCAACAACCTGGTTTAAAGAAATCTGTGAATGTCTTAGTGCATTAGTGTATTACACTGTGAGTCCTCTGATATTTGTTTAGACTTGATTCTTCATTAAATGTGTTCTGAAATTCATTATATCTGTAGAGTAATTTTAACTATCAATTCTTTGTGGTTCTCTAAGGTATATCTTTTGCATAAATATTTTTTCACATTCATTATATTTGTAAGGTGTCTATCTCTTAAAATTTTTGTGATGTTGAGCAATGTTGGAGAAAATATTGGAGCATTTTTTTAAGTGTAAGTTCTCCCATGTCCAATAAGATCTCTGTTGTAACTAAAGGTATTGTCAGCACTCTACATTATGATTGTTTACTTTAAGTATAAGTACTGTTGTGCATTTTAAAGCTAATACTTAGGGAAAGCACTTCCATACTCATTACATTTATCTCACTTTTATCTAGTATAATTTATTTGGTGTTGAATAAAATGCGAGCAGTTATTAAAGACTTTGCCACAATTCTCACATTCATGGAATTTTTCTCTGTTATGCATTCTTCTATGAAGATTAAGGTGTGAGCACTGGGAAAATGCTTTGCCACATTTCTCACATTTCTATGGTTTCTCTCCTGTATGGATTCATTTATGTAGAGTGAAGTCTCGGAGCTGGATAAAGACTTTGCCACATTCTACAACATTTTAGGGTTTCTCTCCAGTATGAATTCTTTTATGTTGAGTAAGGCCTGAACACTGGGTAAAGGCTTTGCCACATTCTTCACATTTGTAGGGTTTCTCTCCAGTATGAATTATTTTATGTTGAGTAAGGTTTGAGGACCAGTTAAAGGCTTTGCCACATTCTTCACATTTGTAGGGTTTCTCTCCAGTATGAATTCTTCTATGTTGAGTAAGGTGTGTGGACCGGGTAAAGGCTTTGCCACATTCATCACATTTGTAGGGTTTTTCTCCAGTATGGATTCTTTTATGTAGAGTAAGATTTGTGTGCCAGATAAAGGCTTTGCCACATTTTTCACATTTGTAGGGTTTGTCTCCAGTATGGATTCTTTTATGTTGAGTAAGGATTGAGGACTGGCTAAAGGCTTTCCCACATTCTTCACATTTATAGGGTTTCTCTCCACTGTGAATTCTCCTATGTATAATAAGTTTCGAGCAACAGTTAAAGAGTTTTCCACATTCTTCACACTTACAGGATTTTTCTCTGGTATGAATTTTCCTATGTCCAGAAACATTAGAGCTGTGATTGAAAATTTTGCCATATTCATTAAGTTTTAAACTTTTCTCTCTAGTATGTCTTGTCTTATGTCTATTTTGATTTGATGATTTGCTAACGACATTTATACACTTATAACATTTGAATATTTTTTATGGCAAGTTGGCAAACATTGGGTAACACTATCAGAACATAATTTCTGCTTCTTACACTCACCCACACACTCCCAATCTCTCTTGAAGTATATATTTTCAAGGCCACAGCTTCCATATAGTCTCATTATTGATTTCTGAAATGGGTCTTTTATGCCCTGCTCTGGCAATAGGTCTTTGGTACATTTGGAAGACAGTTCTGAAAGAAATGAAAATAACAATGTATCTCACTAACTAGACTCAGGTGAATATATTTCACAATTCGAATATATAATACTATAGAAAGCACATTAGCAAGAAAGCACAATAGAATACCATGGTATTACTTTCATCATAAATGTATGACCTTAAAAATATACTTACAACCATGATTCTTTTAGAAATCATAACTGCTAATTGTTCATAGCAACTGAAATTAGAATAATAGCAAGAACCACATGAAAGGGGAAAGAGACTTTCTTGCATTTACCCACCAAAGCCCTTCCAGCATGCTGATACTGAGTTATCACATTAGTAGAAAAATCCCATGTTCTGGATTTACTCTCAAAAGAGAATGAGACTATGGGCACAAGTCCTCACATCTTATTTTTTATGGCCTTTCCAAAGGCTGGTTTCCATCTCTCATGACAACTACATAACTCTCTGGGAAAAATATGCACATATCAAGAATAAAATTCTGCCTTATCATAATGATGGTGCAAAACATTTAATTATGCTTTAAAATTTGAAAGACAAAAAAAAAATGATCATTACCATGTGTTAATTTGAATACAATATAAAAAGACATAATTATTGACATCAATATCATAAAGTTGAGGGCAGATGTAAAGATAAAGAATTTTTGTATGCAACTGAATTTAAGTAGTTATACATTTAACATAAGTTGCAAGTTCAAAAGATTTCACATAATTATCACAGTTAACATCAGAAAAAATGTTTATACAGATACAAAAAGAAAGCTGGGCAAAGAAACAAAATGTCACTCAAAATCATTGAGGCATAATGAACAAAGAAGGAGAGGAAAGGAAGAAAAGAGAGTGACAAAAGTTATATAAAACAATTAACATTAGGGAAATTGGAAGTCCTTCCTTTGAGAAAATTATGTAAATATTTATGTTTACAGTCAGAAGGCACAGTTAAATAAAGGGATTAAAAAATCCAACTATATTCTATCTAAAGCGACTTGCCTTTGTACATGGTGTGAACAATAGACTAAAACTGGCAGGAGGTAGCAAGATACATCAGGAAAACATTAAGCATCTAAGAGCAGTGGAGTTCAAAATTATATTAGGCACATTATTTTTGAAGTGAAAAAATGTTATAGTTTTAAAAATATACTTTAAGTCAAAAATGTCACAAGATACAAACAAGGACATTGAATATAAAAAGTAGTCATTCACTGAGAGCATATAAAAATAATACATATATATGATATCTATCTTTATCTCACCTCAAGGTTCTCAAATATGTTTTTAAAAGGCATTGACAGAATTGAGGCAAGAAATAGACATCAAAATAATATGATACTTTGATATTCTATTCCACTTTCAATAATAATAAAACCAGTCAAATTATTAATAAGAAAACAAAAGTTTTGAAAACACTACAGAGAAGTTAGACCTAACAGATATATTGGAAACACTCTACAGAATATTGGTAGAATACACAAACTCCTTGATAGCTCATAAAACGTTCTTCCTAAAAATACCTGTTCAGCCACAAGTCGTAACCAATTTTAGAAAATTGAAAGTTACCTCATTTTAATTTTAGGCTAGAATGGAATTAAACTGAAAATAAATAATAGAAAAAACACAGAAAAATTCACAAATATAGGAAAATAAACAACACACTCTTGAATACATTCTTCTTCAAGGGAAGAAGACCTAATGTTGTGAAGATGTCCAGATTGGCCTACAGATTAAATGCAATTCTTTCAAAATCTCAATTTCAGTTTTTGAATAATGGAAACAGCAAACTCTTCCTTCAGAAGTTTCATTAAATATAAATGGTTTAGATTCTATAATGAAAAATAAGATGAATGTATGAATAAAAAACAAAGAGAACCCTACAATATGCCACCTACAAAAGCCTTCCTTTAGCTCTAAAAAGTCAAACTGGTTGGAAGTAATTGTAAAAAAAATCTACATAAATAATAAGAGGAGGATATTGTGGCCATAATTAAAGAAAATACACTTTAAGTCAAAAACCATCAGAAGAGAAGAAGACATTTATAATGACAAAATGGGTCATTTAGGAGAAATCTATGGCACAGAATACACATAGACAGATGATATACATGTAATTTACCTATTGTAGCATAGATATTTTGAAATATATATTCTATAACAAGGTTTCTAAACGTATTAAGAAAATATGCACAAAAGTATGGACACAAGTGTTGTAAGAAACACCTAGCAACACACTACTTATAGGAGACTGCAAGACCTCACATTCAATGATGAATGCAAAAATTTGACAGAACATAAATAATAAAACAGATAATGGGAAAAAAATTATAGACCAGTTAGATGTAAAAGACATTTACAGAGCTCTTCAGTCAAAAGCAGCAGAATACACTATGGTTTCAATCATACATGATAAATGCTGTTAGGACACTTAAGTCTTATCAAGTTGAAGAATCCTAAAAACATACAACATATATTTTTTGACATGAATGAAGTGGAACTAGAAATCAAAAGCACAACACAAACTAGCTAATATAAAAATAAGTCAAAATTAAATACACTTTTTAATGCATTCAGCTCAATGGTCAGATGATTTAAAAAGTTAAGATGTCAATACTATCTACAGTGATATAAATTGAATCAATGTCTATAATAGTCCTATCATACTGGTTTTGAAAATATATAAAAATAAATTCTAAAGTGTATTGGAACAATAAATAGCCAGATTGTTTTAGAAATACAAACAAGGAGGCATAGCAGTTCTTGATTTGAAAACAAATCTACAGAAATAAAAAAACAAGCAACTGGCACAATAACAAACAATGAGATGAAACAATGTAATAGAAATCCCAGAAATAAACCTTTGTGTCCATGACCAAAATTATGTTCCTCATGATTGCAATGACCATGCAATGAAAACAAAGAGTCACTTCAACAAAAGTTGTAGAAAACTGAATATTTCTGAGAGAAATAAATGATGTGGGTATCCTCCCTTGTACTATATAGAATATATCTTAAATAAATTAAATACTAAAACATAAGAAATACATGTGTAAAAATCTTAGAGAAAATATAAGGGAAACATCATGATATCGGTCCTAGTACTGTTTTAGCAGATGTAACATCAAATGCATAATCAAGAAAAAGGAAGAGAAGAAAAATGGGATTATATCACACTTCAAATTTGGAGAAAGGAAAAACTTAGTGGAGTAAAAATGCCTCCTACAAAATGGGTAAAAATAGATGCAAATCACATATTTGTTAGAATTTAAAATCGTGAATATATGAACAATGATTAAAATTCAAAAACAAAGGTGAACAACTTGACTAACAAATGGACAATAGATTGATCTGGCATTTCTTCAAATAAGATATACTAATGGCCAAACATAAAATGAAAGCATCCTAAAAATTGTTAATCTTTAGAGAAATGCAAAAAAATCACAATGAGATATCACATCACATCCATTACATTGAGAACTTTTAAATAAATAAAATCATATGCAGATGCATACATATGGTGAGAATATAGAGAAACTAAAATGATGCTATGTCATTCTGAACCTTTGATTCTAAAAATTATAAAAATTGAAATACAACAGATCATAAATTTAAAATATATAAGGAGAGCAAATCAGCTATATGGTAGGAGGGGAAGGATCCACTTGTTTTATTTTACTTTTTCCCAAAGAACAACAAAAGTTTGGCAGCCATCCACAGAAAATTACAATTATCTGAATTTGGGGATTTAAATGGAAGGTCACTAAACTCTAATGAAACCATAGATCTGGGGGGGGGGTCATTTAGAATATTCAGGCTCTCATCCAGCTGACAAAATTAAGGACCCATTGTCCTGAATACAGACTGTAACATGGGTCAACCATCTTGGATACACAGAGTCTCCGATGGTTCCCTGTGACAAAGTTGGAGTGGTGCTGCTCATCCAGAGACTCTGGGAGAGACACACCTATCTGAATCCATGGAGGCAGACTTGAATAACTTAGTCTTGCTATCATCTGTAAAGCAGAACTGTGACTCTGCTACAGCTGTCTGAACTATAGTCCATGTCTAGTTCTTTCAGTGCATAGATCCACACAGCGACCTGCAGGGACTCTTCCAAGGTACTCATTGGGAGCCACACCCAACCACACATATAGAATTAGCCCCAAAATATGCAGACTGAAATGCACAACCTTACCCAAGTATGTGTCATATGGAACCAAATACTGAAGGCATCCAGTTTACCGAGAATGAAGAGATGATTGAAAACCACCCAAGCCCTTTGGAACTGGCCCACCAGATGCAGACTCCACTGCAGAGCAAGGGACAGTCTTGTGTCCTAGCTACAGCAACTCTTCATTGAAAACCCAGTGGAGATACCTTTAGCCCAAGTACTCAAAAGAAAAACATCTTTACCATTCAAAACCAGTTTATAAAAACTGGAAAAGGTATTTAATACTTTATATGCATAGATACCACCATAAGCATAATGTGCAACCACTGTAAATGCTACTATTTTATCATACTACTATAAGACCTAAGCAGAAAAATTTGGCAAGACCATGACAAGATTCACTCAAATAGAAAGCAAAAAGAAAAAAGAACAGTATTTGCAGATGACATTATCTTATAAATCAAAAACCATAAAGAAGATAGGAAGAAGGTTTTATAGAGTAATAAAACCCCT